ACAATAACATACCTGTGACTCATAACCATGTGTCACGTGAAAGCCTCTTTCATGCCCAGCCACGTTTGTGACAATATCATATTCACTAGCACATCTTAGCTCTTAACAAAAAACTCTATCCCATGGACTGATGAGAGATACAGATTCCAGACCTTCCAACATGGGTTAGTAAATTTCACTAGTCTTGTGTTTAGTCATCCAGTAAAATAACCTCACGTGTTCTCCAAGGAAGGAATTTGCCTAAGTATTCCCACCAGCAAAAAAGAGTTTCAAATGTCGAGCCATACTCCGTGAGCTTCCAGTTCACTCAAACTCAGTTCCTATCCTGACTGAACCTCAAAAGCGTTCATTCTCAGCTGAGCCTAGTAGTGTACCACTGGTAATTTATAGTACTAGTATTAGGTTAATAGAATATCCGTACATAGATTCTAATATACTCATAGAATAAAAAGAGAATATTACGAATGCCACGAGAGCCAGAGCTAAAAAGACTTACCAAAGACGAAGTCAAAATATTTGATAGCCTTCCTGAGCTACCAGCCTTCGATACCTACGAAAGTCCATTTCCTCCCCACTCTGCACTCCCAATTCTCCCCTCGCCAATAGCCAATAGTCTTAAACCATTAGAGATCTTTGATCGCTTTATCAGAGAAGATGGATTAGCACCAATCATAAAGAATACACACCAGTATACTGGAATAAAGCAGCAAGGAGAGGACAAAAACCTAGTAGGAGTTAAAGGAGATGAGCAGAAGGTTATTAGCCATTGTTGGAGTCCAGTTAGCCTTCCAGAGATAAGGAATTTTATTGGGCTTCAGATATAGATGGGAATAAATTGCTTACCGGCAATTGAGGACCATTGGCAAACTGAAATATGCCATCCGATCATGCGATATATGTCCTGCAATCACTATCAGCAAATTAAGTACTACTTTTATATATCTCCACCAGAGGATACTTATAAGCAAGAAGATTGGTGGCAGAAAATGGAATTTTTAGTCTCTCATTTACAGCAGCAGTTTCGGCAACATTTTTTACCCTCACTCAATCTTTTCTTTGACGAAATGATAGTACTGTGCAAAGGGATTCAGCATATACGATCAAGCTTCCTGGAAAGCCCATAGATCAAGGCTATAAGATCTATGTACTTTGTGATTAGGAATATACATATCTGTTTTTTATTCTATTTTGGAGTTACTGGAAATGAAGTTAGTAAGGTTACTCAGACAACATCCTCTTATACCCATATTAGTAAAGAACGATCACTAGTACTATACAATCACAATAGTCGTAAACTTACCAAAAGCGAAACCCATAAACTCTCTACCAGTTTCTCAGCTACTGCTCAGGCAGTATGTCATCTAGCCTTTTCCTTACCTTTCCAGTCCTATCAATTTAACATCTATATAGATAATTACTTCACAAGTATACCTCTATTTTGCCATCTCCGAGATCATGGCCTCGGTGCAACTTGAACAACACAAGCAAACCGTCCAGATTTTCCTTCCACATTAACAATTAGTAAAGATATTACAAAAAGAATACAGTAATGGAATCACCTATCAGGAGTGATAGTGAACGGGGTTTGTGCTGCCCTTTGGCAGGATAATAATACTGTTTGATTTCTAACTACCATTCATGACCTTCATCAGCTTGTTCTCAGTAATCAGCGAAAAACTAAAAACCAAGCACTAATGCCTCCATAGCACATAAGCCATTCGCCACTCACGAGCATAAAAAACTTCTTCCTATTCCAGCATTAGTGGACGATTACAACCAGTATATGGGGGGAGTGGATATTGCAAATCAGTTGCGAAGCAATTATCCATGTCACTAAAAGAGCCAACGGAATTGGCTCTCCTTATGGTTCTGAGCTCTTAATACGGCTATTACAAATACATACCTTATTGCTCACTCACTCCCTCCCACGTGCGAACACAAGGCCTTTCGCCATGAGCTTGCTCTTAGACTCACCGAAAGTGGATGGTCTCAACTCTATCCTCTTCTCCATCTATCATAATCAGAATCCAATTCCTATGTAAGATTGAAAACATCACTTCCTCCTTTCCACCTTCGCACTACTAGTGACCACCAGCGGTCCCCCTGATCAAACCAGTGGCAGCTTTGTTGGTACTGCTGCTATAAAAAGCTCCGTGGTGATCCCAAGAATCCTCCTCCTGCCTGTCCAAGAAAAGAGCATCTTCAAGCCATTGAGGTCAGCGAAACTGCAACTTGGTACTCAAGATGTCAATTACCTTTGTGCCTAAAGAACTGATATTTTTTGGATTTTTACACTGTACACTCCTGTTCCCCGAGTCCTCATACCCTTTCTTGTACTCCAAGAACTCTACCCATTCATAACAACAGGACAGCAAGAGCAGTTATGATAGTATGAAGCCTATCAGGATATTGGCATGGAATTGTCTTGTTGTGAATTTGATATCACATTTATGATTAGTAATGCTTTTCTTGCTGGGATCTCCAGCTGCTATTTCCCATGTTGGAAGGTCCGGAATCTGCATGTCTCATCAGTCCATGGGATAACTCGAGATAATACGGTACTCACGGCGTCGCTAAGACCCTACCTAGCACGCCAGAGGAATGGCCTTTCTCGGACGTCCATGGCATTCCCGTTAACCTCGAAACCCTTTGCTTATAAATACTTGTATTCTACGACACTCGAGTAGATCCATGTGCTCGAACAGGCGTTCTAATCGATTTTGCCCCCGTCGCAGCGGCGGGTTAGGTAATTCCTATGTATCAATTTCTGCGCTCTCCCCCTCCAAAGGTATTCCAATTTTAAGAAAAGCCGAGTTTTCCGGGGCAGGGACGTTTTTTACCCGCATTATTTCGTGGCTCGCAGAACAGGAGTCAAGTTCTAAGACGGGAGGGATGCGATAGCTTTGAGCAAAGCAATGTTCTGGTGTGGCGACAACCACAAAGTGATGGACATGATCAGATCGTGCTCTAAAAGGGGTATCATACTGCTGGATGACACTCGAGTATGCTAGATCATGATCGATCACTCTATCTATGTATATCTCTTGGGAATCATGTAATATCATCTATTGGTATACGGTACGCTCTGTCTACCCACACACCCGATCACCTATTCTCAACAAGACACTCTCTACTGTTAATTCTTTGACATACTGCGGTACTAGTACACTTTGAAATTCGCTTTATCAAAATGTCCTCGCTTTCGTCATCTCCCATCCCCTTGGAAGTGACAAAAATGGGATCGGATACTCAAAGCGAACAGAATAGCGGTAAATTTCCGTGGTACTTTGTCACTAGTGATGGACATGAGCATGCTCGGGCGGATTATGAGGGTTATGCTCGAGCATGATCCGATCGAGAGGACCTCATGTTCTATCATGATCGAGCATAGTCGATTATGATCGGTTTTTCTCCACTAGAGTTACTTTCGTATTATATGTCAAAATGTGATTGAAGATTTAAGTAGCTTTGTTCAATTCCACTTCCCACTACCGACACTCTAGTTAATAAAGCCAACGACAATATAGTGCAGAGATTTGTGTTTTAAAGATATTTCGCTAGCTTGAAAGCACGAGATATGGTGATAGCACCCTTCATTTTTGCTACGACTCAGAAACAGTTTGCTCGAGTGGAGTGGATGGAGTTGAGAATTTGAGATTTTCGCGATGGTGTGACTGGTTTCAATAATTCAATTGCACCACTGTCCCACAACTTAATCTCGACGAGAGTACCCGAGCACTGCGCAATAATCAGGGAGGGTGAAGGCCAAGATGAGAAAAGAGCAAGCTCGGAGATGAGGCAGAGATCCCGCTGCGTTTCTGGGGTTGGTGTTAGAGCGGGTTTGCCATCGGCCTGGCGACCCCCGTCCCCCTGAGCACAACTACTCGTACCATAATACGGTTGAGTTATGATACATTCTCTCAACAGTGAAAAAATGCACTAGCAGGTATGATACCAACAGCTACAGCTTTGCTTCCTCTACCATAATCTTCCATGCTCTATCGCCGAAGAATAGCTTCGCTTGTAGTGTTGCAAAATCATTCTCCAGGGCAACCCTGTGGGTGAAAAAGAAATCATTGCCGAGAATACCAACTTCAGCAAAGCGCGAATGTTGAGGCTCCCGGTAAACAACGTGATCACGTCCAACAATCCTGATAGCAGTCGAAACGCCCTCACGGATACCGAAGAGATCACTGGTCTGAGCTGCTTGCAGTCAGTCAGCCACATAGGAGAAGATCTACCTGAGCCGAGAGATATGTCAGAGGCGAGCCTGAATCTATGGAAAATAAAACCCAATGAGCCTTGCCCTCAGAAGACATGACATCAGCTGGAAAGATCGTGCGCAAGTTGATGCTGTAGAGAAAGCAGTCACTGATATTGGCCACGGTATCGGTCTCTTGCCTAGTCGCTGGCAAATGACGAGGACTGGGTATGGTTCTGGAAGCTGACTTGACAGCTTGGAGGCGGAGGAGATTGAACATTTTAGGGCTATGTTATCCGGGATTTAGCTAGTTAGAGAGAAAGTGATAACGTCGTTCGGGTATGATATTGTCATGATAGTGCCTTTATGGTTTGAGGGCTCGAGGCAAAATACTGGTATGTCTAGCTGGCTTCTGGTACTAGGGAGGCCATATTTGGGGTAGTCTAAAGCTCCGGGAAGTATTTCATCGGTGTATCACACTTCCCACCGGGTCAGAAGAAGATTTCCATCAAGTGTTTTTGATTCACCGTATTAGGCACGACTGACTTTGCCGGGGAGGCAAGGGTTAATTACGAAGACTAGACCGAGTGGAACCTGGGGGGAAATTGGCAGCCTGAATAATCTAGGTTGACAGATCTCAGGACTAGTTTATTGATGAAATCCCTCCAGTAGTCCACCACCACCACTTCAAGATGTTGCACTCGTTAAGCTCAGAAGCTGTGTGCTAGTCAATGTTTTTTCGCTTGGCTGACCCAATTCCTGGAATCTATTAGGAAACCAAGAACCCAATTTTATTTAACTATGGTACCACCTTTGGTAATTCGCACCCCGTACTTTGCTCCTGCTTGACATCTTGTACAACCATCTCCAGTGCCTCCAGTGCCTCGTCCAAAGTGCATTTCTCCCGTTGTATGTACCCAGCGTGCATGAGAACCGGCAGTCTTCTCAGCGTCCGTCCCGAGAAAGAGGTGCATCCATTTGCGCATCGCCACAGCCTACTCGATGGAGCACTTGGCTGTGAGAAAATATTCATTCTTGCCTCTTCCGGGCAGGGTATCGGCCTCTTTGTACACTTTAGCCAAGAGAAGAAACAGAACAGGCTGTGGAATACTTGTTCCTCAATCAATCCGCAACGTATGAGTTCATTTAAGCAAGTCCTTAGTATTATGTAGATGGCACTAGCGGTTGGAGCGTTAACATATTGTTTGATATCAGCTCTATCGAGAAAGGCCGTATCCATTGCTTCTAGAAGGTTGGACGTTGTCAAAACAATTACCTAGGTGATTTCAAAGGTTAGAAACTCATTGGCATCGTTGAGGAGGACTTTTGCATTATGCTTATGGCGAAGCTTGTCCAATCCAGTTAACAGCGCATTCACAACCTAGAGCCCTTATCAACGAGCTTGTCCCCAACAGTCGAGAGGCTGGGGCATTAGACCCTAAGAGAGTCACTAGGCTCATTCCCACCGGCAGCCGATTTTCTTGCTGAGGTTAAGGACTCCACCTCGTCTTTGAACATCAGCGAGGTTTGCAAATATCAGTACTTGACTAACCAATTAACAGAACCACGAAAGTATCGTCGTTCTCTAATGTCTGCGAAATATCATCAAACATCTTTCCTACGAGTTTCCCAGACTCGGAAAACCACTTTGAGAATAGGTTGTGGCTATCAACCTCCACCAACTGAAAATCCGAGAATCTTTTGGAGAGACGGATTGATAGTTTCTGTGCCAGCGCTCGACTGTACCCCATCAGTTTGTGCCACTTATTTATTTTTGATTCATGGATTGTACCAAAGGCTTGTTTTACCGGACCCGGGAGGGCCGTGGAGTAAGATTAACCTTCAAATTTAAGCTATTGTAAACCTGCCAGGACATCAATAGAGCGGACCAACCTATTCCAGGTAATGCACATAAAGTTAACCCCCTTGTCGGCAAACAGTACTACCAACACACCCAGTTAGACCAAGAAAACTACCTTTCTACCCTGAGTTGGATGGAGCCAACTTACCAATGGTGGAGATGAAGTGTAGTAGCTTAGTTTTAATATCCGGATCAAAGATCAAACTACCCAATTAGCATTTGCATACTCGACTCATTCCTTAAAGCAAACTCACAACTCCCAGAGCCCATCCAAGGCCTTAGAGGGTAACTCCATAACTCTTGCCGAAGGATGCTCCTCACTCTCGGCAGTAGATTCTTCACTCAACTGTGAGGCTGGCTGTGAGGTCCGGAGATGCAATTTGTATGCATTTATATCCAATTCTACTTTCTCCAAGTAGAGAATTTTGTCTGTGGATCCGGTTGCCTCAACAACAGAGATAGATTCAACATGCTCCGTGAGTAATGGTGAATCTTCTGAGATATATTTAGCATCCGCTAATGGGAAGAAAGAAAGAAAAAGGGGGGGTCATGAGACGTTACCAAATGATTTTATCTCTTGGGAGATGGACAAAGAAATAAAATTGCTCTGTAGCCAATCATGAACCCATCGAGATACAGAATCCAGGCGGATATTTGTAGAAGATAACAGTCGAACTTCAACATGTACGATCACGGAAGAAGGCATCCCGGAGAAAAGAAATGGCAGAAATACGGGTGCGGAATGGTGATTCAATGGATTGCAGTAGTTCGGGCGTGTATCGGTGTGGGCTGTGTTTGTCGTGTGTCGTGCGTAGACAGAGTCTGCTCTGGCTACCCAGAAATCAGATTTCCACAATAGTTCCTATCATCACAGCGGCTATGCGTAATCGTTGGAACTGCCAGCCACAAGGTGGCCATATAAGTAACGAATATAATATTTTGAAGGATGGAACAAACCCCATTATCCTCAACCCTCCCTTATCGGCCACCTATCATGGAACAGGGTGTTGGCCATGCCTACATTACCATGCATGACCAAATACTTGCATCCAAACAAACCAACATTGGAAATGCGAACAACCGAAAAATCAATCTCGGCCACTACACTTTTCGCCGCGACGCAGCATGTAAGGCTCGCATGAGGAACCTTTCTACACAATATTTTTTATTGGGGACCCCAGTGAGATCATATGACATCACTCGAGTCTCACAGGAAACGAAACAAACTGGATCTCCCGGGTGGGTAGTCTGGACCTTTTTCTCGTCGGAATTTGTGGCAGACTGTAGCTGATGCACGAGTATTGGACTGGCAAGCGATGACTACCTTGAGGAACCAGTTGAGGAGCTCTTTTATTCTCCACCGTGGTAGCCTCGCTGCAGGTGTGCATGGATGAGTTGGCATCCTGCAAGTGGATCATTACTCGAGTACAGTATGATACTCAATGAACGCACCGCACAGTAGGGTACAGGTACGGCTCTCGGGGGCTCGGTCCTCGTGATGGGCACCCATTCCACTGACTTGCACCGATATCCGACTCGTCAGAAGTATGAGGCTGATGTCGCACCGATCAGATCATAAATCTTTGGAAATTATCCGGGACGGCAACACTCATCAGTGTTGAAACTCCGATGCGTACTACTTTCACCGAACCATTTATCGCCCATCAAGTCATATCACCAATACCGATATCGGTACCAGAAATATCACAGTATGGTACAGTACGAGTAGTTTGGCATTTCAGTGCATACACTTTTTATTCCCTTCTTTTACTCTGCGGTAGCCCTACCCACAGCTCAACTCATATCCATGGATCCCCAGTGGATTGTTGTTGCTGGCGCGAGCTTCTCGCTAAGGTTTAGCGCGACCGTCTTCGCCCTTGGTGCCCTTCTGATCCGAGAGAGTGCATGGGAAACACAACAGTTGCCGTGCAGGCCCGGAGCGTGAACAATGACTACCGGCAACTGCAACAGCGGCCAAAAGCACGACACACCCCCAAAGAATTGTTGCGCTGCACTCTTGGCTTACCTCTCACTACACTGCGACATCTCTCAAAACGATTGACTTACTTGTGCATTTTTTTTCCTTCTTACTTTCCCTTCTCGTCTCTCCATCTGTGTTCCGCTCTTTTCTGCCCTCCTATCCCCCCCTCCCACACCCACTTCATTCCCCCCTCCACTTTTCTTTCAACCTCATGTCTCTCTTTGGCGCTATTTCCTCTTACTCCTCATCCGCTTATTCACTCGCCAAAGGTACAATCGTGGCTTCGACTGGGTTGGCGGTCCTGCTCTCCGGATTGCTTTATTTTAAGCAAACGTTTGTTTCCCCTTTGTCGCGCCTCTTGCCCGGGCACAAGAATTTTCTAACAGCCGTTCGGATAAAGGGAGCTCATATACCCCCGCTCAATCCCTGAGGGATCTAGGACGAAGGTGCCAACACCGGACGAGTTTGGCGTGGAGAATTGGGAGCATGTTGAGCTCAAAACGCCTGATGGAGAATCGCTCAAGTGTTATTTTCTTAGGGGTCAGAGGAGAATGGATATGGGTGTAACAGTGCGCACGCGCGACCGGACTTCTCGCAAAGCTCTTGTTTGAATCGCGCTGATCCACTCAACTTTAGGTGCTTTTTATGCATGGGAACGCTGGAAACATCGTAAGAAATTCCCCCTCGCCCCGAAACAATTGATTTGCGGGAAATATTTATTGATACAAGAGTGCGCAATCAGGGCCACCGCTTGCCAATTGCTAGAGTTTTCTCCGAAGAGATGGGTGCCAATATCTTTATCCTTTCATATCGCGGGTAAGTGTCCCTTATCACCCGCTAAATCCTACTTGTTCCCCGCCACTAAGATACGCGATTGGGGGCCAGGTATGGGTTATCGTCTGGGCGCCCGTGCGAGAAGGGTCTCAACGTCGACGCACAAGTGGCCCTTGAGTATCTACTCAAGCGCAGTGACACGAAGAATAACAAGATTGTAGTCTACGGCCAATCTCTAGGCGGTGCGCTCTCCATTCAACTCGTCTCGCGCAATCAAGACAAGGTGCACGGCCTGATACTCGAGAACACCTTTCGCTCTATCCGGACGCTCATCCCAACAGTTTTCCCACCAGCGCGATTCCTCGCGAAACTCTGCCACCAAATCTGGCCCAGCGAAGCGACATTGCCGCAGATTGTGGATGTGCCAGTGCTTTTCCTGAGTGGGCTGAAGGATGAACTCGTTCCGTGAGTTCCACATGTTTACCTTTCCTTTTCCCTCTACGCCCCCCAAATGTGGCGTTTTTTCCCATTTTGCTAACGAGCTGCATTCACGCCCACACACACAGACCATCGCACATGAAAACCCTATTCGACATTTGCAGGGCAAAAAAAGTCTGGAGAGAGCTGCCCGACGGAAACCACAACGAGACCGTCGCTCAGGACGGATACTTTGACTTTATCCACGACTTTATCCAGAAAATTCGCAACGGACACACCTCGGATTTGAGCTAGTGAATTGCACAATCAGTCACAGCTTTCCCGCACTGAAATGAAAACTCCTTTTAATGCCTGGAACGAGAATCACGGACCGGCGTTTGCGTGTGTCGTAAGTGTGTATGCGAATTTCCTACGGGTGCTGAGACCTCACTCAGTCGGTGGATGATGGGTGGGGGGGTGTTTGGCTGTACAGTACGAGTGAGTAAGTATCGGTATACATACTGATGGCTAGATATTTTTAATAGGTCCTTTCTTCTTATCTATTTTTCCTTTTTTCTTTTCCTTCTGCCTGCTTCCTCCCGCTTCGCTTGCCTTTCCAGGAAACTTAGGTTCTGTTCATCGGTTGAATTCCCCTATGATACCTTGCTTTTACTCGTACTTCTCATTTACTTTTCCATCTTGCTTTTCCAACCCGGGGCGTCGTGTTGGAGGAGGGTAGGGGAGGGGGGCATTCCTACCAGCGCGCCGATTTGTACACCAATTCACACCTACGGTACTTATGATATCCTTTGTATTTTTTCTTCTTCCCTCTTTTTTTTTTCTGTCTGGCGGGTGGTGGCGGGTGATTTACTGTGGTGGGCGTTCAAGCACATACATATTAGTTATAGTAGTTAGAGTTTCTCCTCCATCCACACGTGCCGGTACGGCACGAGTACTCGTACTCTACCTATCGGTGCCGCGGGCCCAACTTGCTGTGAGTTTGCGTGCACAAGAGAACACACGGAGCGCTAGCCAGCCATTGTCATGACTAAGAAATCGGCACTCGAATAGAAATAAATTTAGGTGTCAGTCTGAAACTCAGTCGCACCCCACCATCCCTGATCTCACCCAACCGGATACATCTCGCTGAAGGGCAGAAATTCCGTGGGATCCCAACCAATCCTCACCGAACCGGAAGCAAGAGTATAAATATTTGGATCCCTGTGGAACTCGATGCACTTTCACTCCACAGTACCATACCGGTATATCGTATCCCGTGGAAAAAACCAGGAGCTTTTTCTACTGGACTTTCTATAATAAAACTCACCACAACAGTAGTACGAGTACAGTACAGTACGGTACTGGTACTGTAAAATCCAGCGATATTGAAGGGGGGACAATCGGCAATCCACTGCACCGAGCCGCAAGTACCGGCACGAAGTATCACGAAGCGAAGCCACTCCTCTCCCCCCTACGAGTACTGTACGAGTACTGTACAATACTAAGATGAAATTGAATCTTGGCAATCCAGGGCAAATTTTCAGCTCGCACGTTGTACGAGTACTAGTACTTGTTCGTACAGTTTACCGGGAGGGTGGAAGTAGACTAGTGACTTTTCAGATCTCGTTATCTTCTTATTAATCAGATCTTTGTTGATCCGGGAACTTTTTTTTTTCTGGTATAGTATTATCATACTCGAGTACCGGTACCTTAACTTTATGGAAAACAGGGGTCACTTGCCACCTACCGGTACGAGTACTACAGGGTACTGTACGTGTACAGTACAAGTACAGTATCATACCCATAGCATTTTTCCCCTTCAAGATGAACTGAGTCATGTCGCCGGAATTGGTCCGAGGTCACCTAACTTGATTTCTTCGTACTCGCTCTCTCCCAGAACAGGGGGTCAGGTGACGTATGACGAGTTCTCGCGACATGACCACGACCACGATGGGAGTAGGTTTGTTAGTCAGCAATTTTCTCGGGATTCTTGGCGCATGACTGACGCATCCAAAACACCATTCCCAATTTTTCAACAGTGGGTCTAGAAATGTTTTGATGGCAATCATAACGGTACTCGAGCCCAATTTCTCGGTCAATGTATCATATCCAGAAAGTTTTTTCTCTCCTTCCTTCTTCAAGAGCACGACAGGCACATATTGAAGGTCCTATTTACTAGTCCAAATTTCCCGAAACCACGTATTGAGCACATCACTCGACGGGATTGGGGGTGTGATCATTGACCAGATCCCCCACCCCAAGAACTAATCGGCTTCTGGGGGGAGGCGTACTCAACCGGCCGGGAAACTTAAATCCTTTTCCGGGAAGGGATACTATATGAAATCTGTTTCGCCACTGGGTGGGGGGGCGCAGTTTTTTTTCCAATTCCTCACAGCCACGAGTTGTGATGATAATCTACGAGTTTACGGGCAAGACCGGATTACATAGCCAATTCATTCGCAACTCACAAAATTCCTGCCTCGTGCCCGTTGCGGAGGTTTTTCTCTCTCTCCCGGACGGTGCCAATGCCTTTCTCCTCGCGGCGGGGCGTGAACTGCGTGCAGTAGGTGCACCGCCACAACATTACTAATATTATCATAAATATAATCGCCGGTTCCAGCTCCCGCATGGCTTAAACTACCGGTACGAGTAGTCTCTGTGGCGCTCGGTTAGCCAACCGGCGTTACAGTGACTTAGCCCCCCCGGACTTGGCGACAAATGACGACTCATTGACGAGCGAGTGAGATGGTGTGAATACCGCGGCACATGGCCCGTTTTTTCCAAAGAAAGGACTTGTGATGGCGTGGCCGAGTGGGTACGAGTACTCGTAGGAAGAAGGTTGTGGTCGTTGAGCGGACAGAGTGAGGGGATAGAGGAAGGGGTGGGAAAGAAAAAAAAAGCGTATGATATATCCGATAGTAAGGGCCTTGCCCATTTCCGCAAAATTCCCAAAGACTCAGTGTGGCGTAACCTTTCTCCCACCTAACCAGCAGTGCAGCACTGTTTGACTCACAAAACACATTTTTCTCCGACAGCAGGAAAGCTTAAAAAGTAGGATGATAATTTTTTTCTCTCATTTACTAAATTATTATTTATCGACATGACGCAACCAAGAATACAAAACAAAGCGAGCCACCAACGCCCCGATGAACCTGTGTATACAGAAGTAAAAGGAAAAGTAGGAGGAGGGATAATAATATGTAACGTGGTCCAGAAGTACACCTTCGTGAGTAACGTAGGAAGGCGAAAAGGGAAAAAGGTAATAGTACTCGTAATAGTGTCTTGGGGTGGAATAGATAATCATGTAATGGCCGGGGAAACAACAGGGCATTGCAAGGGTGGTTTATAAAGAAGAAAAGGAACTAGCAAGAAGAATGAGAAATGAAGAAAAATGAGTGGAGTATGATAATATGATACCATAAGAATAGGAAAGGCCAAAATGCCCTAACCACCGCCACACCACCAACTAGGTCTTGCTCTAATACCACCATTCCGACACCCCCCCCGAGAAACCCCCCCTTTCCCGGTCCATTCACCGGCAGTGGCAGTAGCAGCACTCTCCCCACTCCCCGCCACCGCCTCTGCCCCCCCCATCCTCGCCCGGCACATGCCCAACCACTCCTCCACACGAATAGTCTCGGGATGTGCATCCCCGAGGGCACACCTCCTCTCGACGAGTACCTCGCGCATGACCCTCTCTGCTTCGGGGAACCTAAACGAATCCACTAATCCTTGGGCAAGCTTCTCCTTTACTAAAAGCACATGGGAGTTCCCAGCGGGAAGGATGACAGCCAATTTAGCCACGGTGGCCCGGAGGATATTTACCGCACCAGCGACGTCTCCAATACCCATGAGCGCGGAGGCCTGGTTCACCATAGAGAACGCGGTATCCACGTGCTCATCGCCGAGCACCTGGCGGGTTTCGGCGTACACCGTTCCCGCAAGGTCCTTCGCCGCGGCAAAGTCGCGACTTTTGAGGAGTGCGTTGACAAGGTTGTGCTTGGAGGAGAGCGTGTCCGGGTGCTTTCCCCCGAGCTTTTCTGTCGAGAGGTCCACAGTGCGGCGGAGGATTTCTTCGGACTTCGCAGGCTCGCCAAGGGATAGGTATGTCGTGCCCAGGCAGTCCATGACGGAGAGTGTCTCTGGGTGATCTTTTCCGAATAGCTCCTCCTGGAGGGCGAGGACTTCCTCTAGGATCGCCTTGGCGGGCTGGTAGCAACCTTTCTTCTCGAGAAGTGTGCCGAGCAGCTTGTTTGCTGATATGGTGGTGTGTCGGTTCGCTACGCCCTCCGGCTTCCGCTGCTGCGCTTCTAGTACGCTGTTTGCGATTTGCATCGCCTTGTCCAATTCCCCTAGCCTCGATAGTACGTGGCCTAATTGCACGAGTGAGGATAAGGTCTCGGCATGGTCGGCCCCGTGCACGATTTTACTATGTTCCACAGACTCCTTCGCCATGGCTAGTGCGGCGGGGTAGTCCCCCTTGGCTAGGTACACGCCCGCGAGATTGTGCTGTGCCCTGACGGTAAGGGGGTGCGTTGAGCCAAAGAATTTGTGGAGCTGGTCATAAACGTATTTGTGCAGCCCCATAGCCCTTGTGTCTTTTCCAGTGGTGGTGTAGAGTGTCGCAAGTGCGCTCACGGCGTCGAGAGTGTCCAGGTGTTTGCGACCAAGGCGGTTTATTAGGTTCTGGACTTCCTGGACTTCTAGATCCCGTAGATCATTCCACCAGGATTTTGTAGAGTAGCGGATGGCTGCAGCGACCCACTCGGTAATCTCTTGTGATATGGTAGCCTGGAACGGGGTTGCTGGTGGTTCGGGTGATGGGCTATTGTGGCGGAGGGGTTGTGAGAGTGATGGGGAATGATGTGACGAAGCGGGTGACGACAACACCGATGTCAGCGACATTAACGACGGAGGCGACGACGACCGCAGGCTAGAACCTCCGGCGTTGGTCGCTCCAGGAATATACTCATTTCTCGGTGCCCCCTCGTAACTCTCCCGGCTAGTGCAAGACAGTGGTCCATCCTCCGGGTTCCGAGTGATCGGTTCACTGAGTACTTCTGCAGGGCCGGGGCCCTGTACTGTATCACCTCCCGAGAAGTCACCCGCACTGGGCGGCTCGGGCCAATAGATATCGTTCAAGATCGGTGCGGGACTTTCCCCCAGCGCCAGTGCCAGAATCGAACTTTTTCGTTGTGTTGGCTGCCCAGGTCCCCATACCACGGCCGGCGATGGCGGGCTCGTGCCCCATTGGACTAGTGGTGGAGGTAATGTACCTGATGACAATCCCGCTTGTAGTGGTAGTGATTGTGGTGGTGAATATGCCTCGAGCTCCGAGAATGATGGCAAGGAGATATTTGAATCCCGTCGCTCAGGAGGCGGCAGCGGTGGTAAGCCACCGCCCAAAATTGGGCCTGATGGTAGCGGTTCTGGCGAGGGTGAACCCGCACTGCGTATACTGGGAACCTGAAACCCAAGTCCTGGCGAGCCCGCTTCACCCGACGTGCTCGAAAGAGACCTCCGACGTTCCATAGGGATAGGGGTAGGAGTGGGCATGCTTGAGCTCCCATTTTCCTCCCCGTCATCTTTGTCGATAAGGTTCGCTGGTTGAGCGAGTGCGTCTGACGGATCCCCGTTATCACCGTGCCGTGAGGTCCTGCGTGACTTTCTATTATCCACTGTGTCATCAGCATCGGAGTCACTCCTGCGGCGCTTTGAGGCTTGCTTCAGCCCTCCTACGTTTACAAGGGTGGGTTTAGAAGAAGGCTTTGCGTAGCATTCGTCATCATTTGGCAGTTGGTAAGCGGCCCCATCGTTTCCATTTTGTTCGGGATTTCTCGTGGTGGGAATTTCCGTTTGTGCCACGTATACAACACCATCATGGGCTGGTACTCGCATTTCCGGGAGTTGTGGTGATTGTGTTTTCTGCATATCCACCGGTGCAGGCTGTCCTGATGCCTGGAGTTCTGGTTGTGCGGGGAACCCAGCATCAGGTTGCGACGCTAGTGGATCCGCTTTAGGGTCCCAATACTCAACACCTTCTGTAAGGTAGAGTAGTGAGATCATAAGTTAGCAATCGTTGCCACGATGTACAGTATAAACATCCCCAAACGAGCGAGGTAGTCCAAATAAAGAATAAAAAAGGTAAAGGTGTGAGAAACAGGTAATAGTCCAAGAATAGATTTACCCACCAATCTCATAATCAATCTCTCCCTCAATCGGGGCGTCGGGTCCAAGCATATTGAACCTTTTCCTTGACCGGTCAATCCTCTCGTGACTGAGGGGTTTACCGTTGAAGGAAAACTTGGTGCAAAGTCCTTGCGCAGTCCGATGATCCAATAACCGCACGATGGCTACCATTTTATCTCGGCTAAGATTCTTCTGAATGTCCCATTTTCGTATCTTTTTCTTGTATTGTGTCTCGCTACGGAGGGTCAGTCACTGTTGATGGAGCACTAAAAGGCTTGGAGCAGGATGAATACATACTTTGCATAGAAGCCATATTCTTCTGCTAGGTGTTGTCTTATCATTTTGAGCGTTTGGCCCTGCTCTATGTAAAGATCTTCGAACACACCTCTGATACCTTCCCATTCGCAAGCGGCGATTTCTCTCGTGCGAAATCTGGACTCCCAGGACATTGAGTCCGACATTTTGGGCGCTTTTCGCGGAGGGGGCTGCTCTTTCTCTCCTCCTTAGCCTAGAAGTAGTGGGGTCGAGGGCATAAGCAAGTTCAATGTGCCAGGGAGCTATATATAACAGAGCAGTGGGGTTGTGAAAGCGATAGTTCGGGGTGAGAGGAGCTCGGGACCCAAAGAGATATACCTGGCTATTGAGTGTGATGCGTAAAGTTGGTGGCAGAACAACAAAGGTATTTGAGAGGGAGTAGTGGGCGTGTGGTTATGAGAAGGAATGGGAGCGGTGGATGTGCTGTTGGAGATCAGGGCAGGCAGGGCAATCCTACATGTGCGGACTATTGATATACTAATAATGTGGTGGCAGAATCCAAGAAATACACGAGTACCTTATACCCGCTTGATATCATGGAACTCAGCAATACGGTAATGTGCGCAATCCACATCCGCCTTATATGCAACACCTGAGCATAACACCGTAGCTTTTATGGGCCCTATGACATAGTTGACTGCGATACCCTCTCACAGACGTTAGAAGAAAGAAAAAAAAGAACATGTATCATAGTCGAAGGCAAAACGGTGGGGGAAAAAGTCAAAAGAAAAGAAGAGAAAAAAAGTAACAACTCATTAGGGTAAGGCGGTTTGGGGTGGAAATCTCCCCCAATCAACATACTGGCGAGGCTACAAAATCTCTTTGGATAATAATTGCGGTATGGGACCAAAAGGTCCCCGCATGTGACCCGCAGGAATTCACAGGAACCAGCGCCTACAAGTACTCGAGCACCGGTATGGCACTTGAGCCGCGCTATTCCTTGTATTTGTATCATAACGCTGGGATCATAACAACCACCGCGCACACACATCACGCTAGGATCTTTTGTGGATCTCTCTCTTCTTACTTTTTTTTACCCTATTTTCAGCGTTGGGTTCTCAAATTGCACTCATGATGGCGAGGTGCTTGTGTGGTTTGGAGCTCGGGTGAATCATTCGGGGCTCATTAAATCTCGACACTGGACGCTTACAGTAGTTCTATGAAGCTCAGGAGATAGTATGAGAATTGTTTTCCCCTTGTTCGGCTAGAGAGCCCTTGTTTTGGCGATTGGTGGAACGGTTTGTTCTCCCAGAAAGAGTAAACATATGCGGACTGTCATATTATCGCTATCGCGGGCTTACTAAGGTTTTACTCTCCGCCGGATTAAGTTGGGGGATACAACCACTTTGCCCAGAAACGTTCAATTATCGTGACAACCACAACCATTATACGGTATAGGACGGAGATCTGTGTTTTTATGGCCCTCATTTTGCCTAGGAGCGCGAGATCTGGTAATAGGGCCTTTCATTTTGAGAGTTTGGGACATTCGCGATGGGGTGGCTGGTTGCATCTCACTGCCCCCACATCATAATCTCGCCATGAGTACTTTTCGCTCGCTCGAATGTTTGATAGGTACAAATGCTCCGACATGACGTCTCACTCGAATGATGAAACAAAGTTTCAGTCAAATTTTACTCGCTTCCCTTTGCCCTCTATGATTGCACCAGTGCGCCGTGAGTCGTTCGAATAGGCAGTCCCTGGATTGTATGAGCGCTTCGGGTTGTCAAACTTGCTCTTCTTCTTGGTACGAATAGGCTTCGTGTCGTTTTCTTGCTCTCTAACGCCACCGGTGGCGGTGAGTCTGCCTCGAGACCCCATGAGCGCTATAGGAGCTCCTTTGGTGACGTCCTCGTTGTCTTGGGCATCCTTCTCCTTCCCAAAGCGCTTCTTGTAACGCACGGAAGGGTCCTCCCCGTATTCCATCTTGACTTTCCGGCCCCCAATGAAACCTCGTTTCTTGCGCAACCTATTCAGCTCCTCCTCCTCCTTGCCCTCGGCAATCTCGGGGTTTGTTTTGTCCTCGGGAGAGAGCCCTAGCATTGCCCTCTTTACACTCTCCTCGTCTTCGAAATCAACGAACCCGAAGCCTTTGCACTTGCCCGTGTCCTCAAACGTTGTCAGGCGGACTTTTACAATCTTGCCAGCGAAGGCAAAGTGCTTTGCCAGGTCCTCCTCCTTCGTGATAAAGTCTAGGTTGCCAACCCAGAGAATCCTGCTTGGTGGGTTCTTGCTCAAGTCCGCGCCCACTTTGATGGCCGAGGTGGGGGTTCTGGAGGAGAAGTCCTTGGCATTTTTGATGAGAACTGGACGGCCGTTCCATAAGGTCTCCGTCAAGATGAGTGCATAGTTGAGCGATTCTTGGTTGGAAAAGTCCACATAAGCAAAGCCTTTGTTACGGCGGGTTTGCGGATTCGTTGGAAGATTTATACGGGTTATTCCTACGCGCGGAATCGTCGAAGGAGGCTTGGTGAAGAAGGTCTCTAGGTCTGGCTTCGTTACTGAAAATGCTAGGTTTCCTATCCAGACACCCCACTTGGAGCGAGATTGAGATGCATGTTCGGGGAAATTTTGGGATTTAGGGGCTGTAGCGGGGGCTGTGATCGGGGCTGTAAGGGCACTAGTGCTAGCAGAACTGCCAGTGGAAATAGATGTAGCGCCAGACTTTTTGAGTTTTCGTAGAGCCTTCTTGGATGGTGGCTCTGGAGCATTGATATCAATTTCTATATCCTCCACAGCGGTATCTCGTTTCCGCTTCTTAGATGGAGTTGAAGTGTCGGCCTCGGCGGTCTCCTGGGTTGTCGGTTCCTCAGCCTTGTGCTCTGGCTGTGCACTCGCACTCTCACCATTGAGCTCAGGTTTTCGTTTCTCATCCTTTTTACCCTCTATGTCCTTCCTCTCCTTCTTGTCCTTCCTGTCCTTGCCCTTTCCGTTCTTTTCCTTCTTCGGCTTCTTCCCTCGGGTCTCGGTAGGCTCCTCTATCGCATCTTCTATTTTGGCACCACCCGCGTTAGGTTCCTTGTTAGGTGTCGAAGTAGATATTTCTCTTTCTTTTTTGTTTCGAGCCATTGTGAAGGGCGATTGCGAACCGTAGTTGTGGTAGGTGAGGTCCTCGTATGAAGCGGGATCTCAACTTGGGTCTCGTAACTTTTTTTTCTTCTTCACCCAACATCTTGGCGTGACCAACCCTAATCCTCAGCCTGGGGACACATTATGGTATGATAGATGACTAAGCGGGCTCTTGGGGATAGGTGATTTTCGAGTGGGAAGGGGGACAAAAATGCCCTTTAGAGTAAGCGATTTTCCAAAATAACGTAGTCGTTGGTCTACAAGTACCGTAGCTAGCGTCATCGACTACCGGTAGTCTGTAAAGCCCACCTTAGGCCTCGAAACCACACTTGCACGATATCCTAATCCAACCTCAACTCACCCCATACCACTATCCATTAAAACACCCTTCAAGAACTCCAATATGTCGAACAAGAATCTTAAGGACCAGCGCCGCGCCGACCTGAGTAATCCTCCCTCACACATAATGCTTCAAAAACACAACGCACAAAGGAGGGAAGCAAACTGACAATATTCAGTCATTCCATACGTCGCCCCGACAGCCAAAGCCAACGAGTGTGCGCTTCCATCCCTTCCTTCTTTTTTTTGAACTTCCACAACCTAGATTGCTAACATATGACATGTTTTTCTAACAGCCGATATTGCCGGTACGATACGCACATCCATCACCTTTCCCCTTGCTAGAGTTTGGATGAAGGGTGGGAGGAAAGGAAGCCATAAATGCTAACCCCCGGGAAAAAAAGCCACCATGACAAGCACACTTCCCATGGCAGCCGTAAGTCGTCTCCCTTTCCTCGTCAAAAGATGTCTAGATTGGCTGACGGAATGCAATGGATGGAATGGATCAGATGTTCACCCGTAACAAGTTCTGTCATTCCCCCCCCCCACTTGGTACCAGTTGACAGCCTGAGCCTTATATATTGACTGATGTGAAATGTTTGTTTGTGCAGGGTTGTCGGATGGTAATATTTTCTTCTCTTCTTCCTCAGCCTTCTTTCTCCCACCGAACGTCGGGGTGGGAAGGGGAAAAGCGAAAACGAAACTAAATATGTTATCATAGGACTGCCATGATCTTCGCGATACAAGCCTGGCTCAGCGAGACACCTGCCCAGCTTGCGGGCGGTAAACAACCAGGGTACTTTGGAGTGGGAATGAGTCTTATGGCACTCGGATTTGTATGCTACTCTCCCTCACTCTTGCCTAATTTCCTGAAGAAGGCTAATATGTAGCAACGGTGCAACACGATAGGCGTACCTCCCACTCTTCATTCCAAGCATGGGTACCGGACCTTTAGGAATGGGCAGCACAACGGCCCCGGCTGAGGCCACACCTGCGTGAGAGTGCGCACTCAATCACACTACACTTGAAATGTTGTCACAGCGAGATTTTTAAAGATTCAAAGCACATGTAATAATATTATCATAAAACTATAAAAACCAATAATATCCGACCGGTGAACTTTTTACAGAAAAATTCTCCACCGTGTGAAAACCCCTAGCCCTGGGCTGAGCATTCAAAAGAACCTATGATATAACTATTATCATAATTATGATAGAATACCATGTTGTAGCACCTATGCTCGAGTACATTGTACCGAAAACGTGCTGTGTCCCAATCATCCCTGCCAAGACAAACCCCATCCTGGTTTCAGAAAGGGGAAATCTGTACACAATTTTAAGCCGCAACCACCACTCACCACAAGTAAGTATCCTCATCGATTATCGACAATACCACGCTCATTACTATCGTACCACCCCCAACTACCTACCACTACAACAACAGCACCACTACTACTTACCGCCCATCAAAAAATGACTCGTGCAACAGAAACCATTTCCATCGCACTGCTCCTCAGCTCCGTAAACCTCTTCCTACCTACCCCCCCCCCTTTATTCCCCCATTCCACATATCATACTAACCTATCTTTCCAAATTAGCTCTACCTAGCAGCATACCTCCGCCTAATCCCCTTCCCGGACAAGATCCAAGAGGAGATTATCCCCGTCGTAAAGCCCCTCCCCATCCTCTCTTCATCCTGCTGGCGAGAAAAGCGACTAATGTGGAGGGATGTGCAGCTACCGTTCTGGGGACTCGTCTCGTTCGGTTCGTACCTGCTTTTCTCGCTTGGGTGGGGTATTGTCACGTTTCGGGATACGGAGGAGGCGTATAAGGAGCTTGTGGTTGAGATTGAGACGGCGAAGAGGGAGTTAAGGGGCAAAGGGGTTGATGTTGATTAAATTTTTGTTTCTCGCTATGTGAATGTGGGGGAAGGGGTTGAAAAGTTGGTTCTTTTGTAGATCCGGCTATCGTGGTGGAGTGGGGAGAGGAGGGCTGTTATTAATGAATGAGGGGTGGGGGGAGGAGGATGAAGTGGCGAGTTAAGGATATCTTGAATTGAAGTGCTCTATTGGCGTCTACAATTTTACAAGTACGTGATGGGGGTGGTCCTAACTGGAGCGACTCGGGGGCGCAAAGTTCTTCTAGGGAGTAGACTGAGCGGTGAACGTTTTGATGCCGGTGTGGTATTCAGCCTCCAGATATCTTGTCATGGTGAGTAGGTTCGTCTATGGTCAAGTAGATTGGCCAGGTGCTGGCGAAACAGATATAATTCTCTCCGCCAATGCCACACGAACATACACCCTTGCAAATCCCATGCGCAATCAGAATCGTATTTACCTCCCTCCATTCAATCCCAACAAAATTACCATATCCATTTCCTGGGATACTTATATCTCGTGCGCAAGTTCACAATAGTGACAAGCGTCAATTTTATTTTTAATTTCAGGCCGTTCCCTTTTTAACACCCTATTCCGCAGAGGAAATTTCTCACCCCTTTACAGAGAACCCGCAACCCGGAAAAAAAATTGAATAATAAATGCAAGGAAGAAGCGGAAAATAGAAGGGTTGTTTTCATCTATTCGACTGTATCGGCGTTGCTCTGGGGCCCCCGGGCGCCTTTGGGAGCGCCAAGTTGAAATCGATTGCTAAATCTGCGGGAGACGGTCTTGAGGTATCTCATGCGGCCAGTACCGGTAGTCTTTCTTCTCTTCGCCTTCTCAGACCAGTTGTCTGAATTCCATCCAAAAGTGCCCGTTAGATAGCTGGAAAGGGGGAGAGTATAGAGGAGGAAGACGTACATTTCCTAACTTTGGCGGCAGGGTATCCACAAGATGCACAGGTGTGCTTCTGGATGTGGAAGGAACGACGACCACAGCGACGGCACAAAGTGTGCGATTTGTTCTATGCGGAGAGTAAGGTCAGTTCCGTAGATCTCATGGTTTGATAGAGCAGCCATTGGCCGAGAATGAGGTAGTTGGTGTTTTATTTTTCGCTTTCCAGAGAGAGAGAGAGAGAAGGGTCAACTAACATGGCGTTTTCCGAACGAACTGTGGAATTGTTAGCTTTTTCTGTTCTCGTAGAAACTGGGTTCCGATCTTGGAGAACTCACGAGGTTCCTTTCGTCATTTTGGTGGGTTGGTGATCGTGATGGGTTGCTGAATCGTGATGTTGGTGTCTGTCAAAATTTCGGTGTTATCCTCAAAGTCGATCTGGCAGTGTGTGGTGGTGGGGATTGAAGCGAGTGGGCGCCAAGCAGTTGGCAGTCGCAAGGGTTTTAGCCCTATACATTGCGACTTGTGATAAATTAGTCTATCATACGTATGGTAGCAGAGTAGATGACAAGGCGAGAATATTATGTAATCTATAAAGCCACATCCCTGATTCAGCCACAAACGCGAGCTTCAGGCTTGGCTACTCTTTGTGTCCCGCGATTTTGGTAAATCTTCTTTTGGTAGTAAAATACAAAGTAGCCTAAGGAAGTCGATTGTCGAGAGAAACGACTGCCGTCGATGTGAGAGTGAGCGAGGCTAGGCTTCTGGTCACCAACAGCTGTCCTCTTCTAACCTCTACCCTTCCCCTTCCTTTACCCTTCCTTTCGTTACAGTCCACATCCCTTTCCCACCACACCCGATCCCTTCCTTTTTCCCCCATCCATCCATCATCACCGCCCCCTTGGGCGTTCCAACTTCCTGCGCTCACTCTTCCCAACAACATCCCCTTTCATTGTTTCTTTCTTTCTTTCTTTCACCAATCACTCCGCGCAGCTTCCTGGCCTTATTTGAGCGACAACTTGACACCCGCGGAGCGCAAATTCAAATCATAATAACATGTCCGCCGCTGCCGAGAATGCCGGAGGTGATAAAGCTCACTACAAATCTTACAAGTCCGTTGCTCCGAGCCTTTCCCGTGTGCCTTGCATTTTTCCGGCGATCGCTAACATAATGCTTCATCAATAGGAAGAAGTATAAAAAGCTTCGCTTTAAGTTCGACCAGGTCATGAAACGCTCGGATGAGCTCTTTAAGCAGGATCAAATCGCGTCCGCTGCAATTAGGCGTATACAAGAAGAGAATACGTGCGCTCAATGAAACGCCTCCACTTATTTGCTTGTATAAGCCACCTTGTAATCCGGAAGCTAAATTATGTGTTGTAGGCGTCTTCTGGATCTTCTGGTTGACTTGAATTCGTCCTCACATGTTCCCAAATCTCGTCGCTTTAACATCGGATCCCCCTCCGGTGCTACTCCGACCCGTTTTCTTTCGCCTACGCTACTTGCTGCTATGGGAGAATTGGATGAAGAGATTGCAGGCCTGGCTGGTGACAATGATGTGGAACCGATGCAGCTGGAGCCAGGCCCTGTTAACGGTAACGATGCAGAGGCCGGAGATCAAGATGACAACAGCACTGATGACGATGATGATGATGATGAGGACGACGAAACTCCGCCAATACAGCGCCACGGTGCGAAATACAGCGATGATGAGGATGAGGATATGGACGATGATGACCGGGAAGCTTATCTCGAGGAGATACGTGAAACGAACCACAGGCGCGGAATCCCCGGGACACCGCCGAGATACATTCGGGACAAGCTTAAGGCTGATGCAGAGAGAGAGAGAAAGGAGGCTGAGGAACAAGCTAAGAAGGCCGCTGCTGAGGTTGCTGCGAATGGCGTCAATGGTTCTGCACCTCTCGTGCTCAAGCAGGAGCCCGTCGACGAGATGCCTGAAGGTGTTCAGGAACCCGCCCCTCATACTCCTAATAATCGCAATCTTTTGGTGTTAGAGAATACTTATCGTCGTGGCACTACCCCGCCTTACTTGCGCAATACCAGTCCCTTCTTGATGTCTGTTGAGGAGGAGGACGCCTTCTATGCCAATGTCGACGAGAATCTCAATGGGGAGATACCCACTTTGCCGGAAATTGTCCACACCTCTCCTAATGCTAGCAAGGGGGAAGGAGACCCACGAAACCCCATGAGCGTCTACTGCTGGTTAAGGAAATATCAGCCACAAGTCTTCCTGCAGGAAACCGAAGGTGAGAGGAAGCCCGGCAGGGGTAGGGGCGGCGGCAGACGCAGGGCCGCTGTTGATGCTGATTCCGGGGATGAAATGCCCTCCGGTGCTAAAGCTGCTGGGAGTAAACGCAGACGTGGTGAGGATGGTGAAGAGGCCCCAAATAGAGGTGGACGAGGTCCCCGCGGGGGCAGAGGAGGCAGGAGAAAGCCTAATGAAGGTGGAGAACCACCGGTGAAAAAGCAGAGGAGGTTGGTAGCGAGGAACTCTTGAAGGAACCCTATACACATTTTTTCTGCGAGTGGGAGACCTAACCGATCAATGCAACAGTGTTGTCTGATAGCTAGGAAGCGAATTGGATCTTCGTTTCGAGTTCGAAGAGCGTTAGAGTTTCTACAAAAAAAGGAGAAAGAAAGCATGGGAGGTAGTGCTTTTGGCCTGAGGGAAAGTTTAGAAGGAATGGGATGGGTCCATTTGCTACACCCCGACCTAGAAGGCATCACATTTTCTTTAGCCTTTTCACTCCTCGCACCTCTGCGATTGGGTCAGAGTCTGTTGAAGGTCCATGTATTTCAGTCCATTTCCCCCTTTCTACACTGCCTCCGCTCGAGTCTCTTGTCTCCCACTTCTTACATACTCGTGAGGAATCTCCTTTTTTTCTTTTTCTTTTTCACCTTTAGGCTGGAGTTTTATGGAAATATCGTGCGTGTAAATCAGCTTATTCGTTCTTTTGTGTGTTGTTTCTTGGTACTTCATCTTGTCATATCAGTCAGGGGTTGACCGTTTCTTTCTTTTTTCCCCTCCACACACAAAAAAACAATGTTTGGGCGTTTATTCTTCGTTCTTGTCTTCTTTACAATAATAATTCCGAGAGCGGGGAGTAGGATGCGGAGAAGGTGGGGGGGTTTCCTTGGGTTGAAATGTATGATACAGGTAGTGGGGTCTATGTTTCGGTTTCTTTCTGTAGCTGTAGGAGCAGGTGGAGGGGGTGGAGGGAATGATGGATGGAATAACTTAGACATTGATGTAGGTTTAGCATATGGTATCGTAAATTTTGCTATTAATGGGCTGGACTAGGGGCTTTTCGAAATCTTCGGTGTCAGGCTTGTGCCCGAGTGCGCTGAGAGCTGTGTTAAGCCTTTGGAATTTGGTTGATTGTGGATTACCTACGAGAGGGATTTTGGACTCGCGGTAGACTAGCCTGCCATGCTCGTGTCTTCACACCAAGAATTGGCAAATCCAGGGTTGATACACGCTCTTACCGTATACACACTGCAGGCCATGATGCTGTTGTAGACTACTAAAATGCCGGCTACCACGTTTTCCGACTTGTGCTCGGGTGTTAGTAGGAATCGAAAAACTATTTCTACTAATCCCATTTAAGCACCGATACATGAAGAGATACGGGTTATATTTTTCGATTTTTATGGACACAAGTCTATCGCACTGCATTGATGCTTCTGCTCTACTGATATTATATATACTGTATGATACCCCTTACAGTACAGTAGTCGGAGTCCGCACAGATTGCCGTACTTTACTCCAGACAACTCCGAGGAGGATTGATTGCTGCAAGTGACCCTTCGTGAGTGCTGTGCTGATTCAGGTAGCACGGGTGATGGCCATTAGTCACGAGTGATACCGGTGCCTTGGGCGCAATTGGAATTAGTCACCAAAGTCTACCCCTGGCCACAGTAGAATTCCTGGGGTATGAGTCTAAATTCCCAAAGGATTGTTCCCTCAGTGCACGAAACAGTGGAGGAAGGGAAAAAAAAGTTAATATTTTCCCGACTTGTTGGCAGTAGTTCATCTGTATAGGTAGAACATCCACCCAAGCTCTACCGTCGGGAGAAAGGTGTGTCATTTCTAGCCCCATCTATCGTCGCCCCGCCACCCCACCGGGATACTCTGAAAGGGAAAAACCTTAGGTGACGTTCAGGCACACAGCTTTCTTCATAAGCGACGAAAGCTTTCTCCCCTTTCCGCCCCTCATCCTGTTCTTTCCTCTCGACCCCCCCTCCTTCTCTCCCCTTTCACCTTTCACTTTTCACCTTTGCTCTTATCTCTTACCCCCCCCTCCCCTTTTACTCCCCTCTCGTTCGCTCCTTTTTTCCTACGACCTCTCACCTCATTCGCCTTTTCACTTCTCGCTCTCTGAGGCCCTTACCGCATCTCGTACGGAACCTTGGATTCTACCACAATTAATAGAGACACAATCCAACCAATAATCATGGTTACCGTCGAGCCAACTCCCTCACAACCGCCAAGTCATAGTTCTGCACCGTCAAGAGGCACTGCTCGTCAGCGTGCCGGTAGAGTTCCTTTTCTCGGTATTGGAAGAAGTCAGCAGCAACAACCACCCGAAACTCCCGCACCTGCCGAGCCCCGACCACAATCTCACACAGGACAACCCACAATAGCAGGTTATCGCAGGAGGAGATATGGGAAGGGTAGAGGTGGTGGTAGTGGTAGTAGTTTCGGTAGCGGGTACTCGTCAAACAGAGATATCCAGGAACTGGTTAATCATGAGAATGGCGTGGAGACTGATAAGAGATCTCAGGCATCGGGCTCTACAAATGAGGAATTACACTTCGATATGGCTTCGGTGGCGCCCAGCACATGCGATGGTAGTGGACCCATCGGAACTCCTAGTACTATACACGGGGTAGACGAACCTAATGGAGCCCCATTATCTGTCCACAGTTCTACTGCTGCTAGCTCCTCTTCACATAATACCGTCCGGAAAGGGAAGGGGAAGGAGAGGGCTGTCAGTGAGACAAATAGTACTACTGATGATGGCTCGGTGTCCCATAAGACTTCGTCTCGCAAGAGCAATAAGCCCAGGGGCCGACGTTTGTCTCCACACAAGCCGTTTGGGGGGCATCTATCTTCCACTGCGAACTCTGAGAATTCTGCCTCTACATCATCCAATACCTCTATTGTTGGCTCACCTGATGAAAACCGTCCAACCCCGAAACTCTCTCGTGTGCCACCGCAGAGAGAATTCGGAGGGCAATTGACAACAGGGGAGGACTCCGTTCTTAACGGGAAACTTCGTGCGGAGGCAACGGCCTATCAACCCGGGGAGTCGACAGATCAGTACCTTCCGCCACATCTTCGCGGCGTCTCCCATAATATAGACAGCAGAGATCTTTATTCTGATTGGGGACCCCCAACAACATTATATGATTCCACGACTGCAAGTGTTAGATCTAAAAGCACTGTGCCTACTGGTGGACGCGGGCGTGGAAGGGGTAGTCGCCGCGGACCGCAAATCCCGCATATTCCATTGGCTGATGGTAAGCCATCTCCTAGAATCATAAACATGAGACCTCATACCAACGAACACAAAGGTCCTGAGAACATTAGCACCAGAATTCATAGGGAAATTACGAGTGGATCCTATGAATGTCTAGTGTGCTTTAGTAATTTAACTAGAAGGGCAAAGGTCTGGAATTGTAAGTGCTGTTGGGCAGTATTCCACTTGGATTGTGTCAAAAAATGGGCAAAACAAGGTCTGGAGCAGACACCGGCCGGACCAGTTGGTGCCGAATTTTCACCGACATGGAGATGCCCGGCTTGCAACAATCATGAGAAAATAGTACCAACTACCTATTCTTGTTGGTGTGAGAAAGAAGTCCAACCAGAGTCTACCAATTTTCTCCCCCCTCATAGGTATGTGTTACCCATTCCGTGCAACACCGGTTCAATTGCTGACTTTGCTTTCATAGCTGCGGCCAAACGTGCGGAAAGAAGCGGGGTTTGCCCAAGGACTGTCCCCATGCTTGCGATCTTCAATGTCATGCTGGACCGTGCCCCCCTTGTCCTGCGATGGGACCTAGACAACCTTGCCATTGCGGCAGAGATGAAGTACAGAAGCGCTGTATTGACACAGTTTATGAAGGTGGTTGGAGCTGTGGGCACGCCTGTGGGGACAGTTTGCCATGTGGCAAGCATTCCTGTCCAAAACCATGCCACCCTGGGGTCTGTGGCGATTGCCAAATACCGGAGATGCTTAAGTGCTTCTGTGGAAATAACACCAAAGGAATCAAGTGCAGTGACAAACAGGAGCCGGTCGAGAGTACGATCAGCGATATTCATGGTGTCGAAAGTTGGTTGGGTTACTGGAACTGCCACTCACCATGCAATAGGTTTGTACTTCGTTTCCTTGATCCTATAAGCCCCTTACAATGCACTAATTAAAGAAAATAGGTATTTTGACTGCGGTAAACATACTTGTCAGAAGCCTTGCCATCCTCAAGATGCGCTCCCCGCCCGCTGCCCTCGCTCGCCAGACCTTGTCACTCATTGCCCATGTGGTAGGACCAAGATAAGTGAAATTCTTGAATCGCCTAGAGCCAGTTGCGAGGCAGACGTCCCATCATGTGGCAAGGCTTGTGGCAAGATTCTTAGGTGTGGCCATGAATGTGACAAAACCTGCCACGAAGGCGAATGCCCTGTTTGTGTGAGGATAGTTGATATCAGATGCGTCTGTGGCAAGACCATTTTAGAGACCCTATGCCATCAAGGAGAACCAGGCGAGTCCCCTCGGTGTATGAGGGTCTGCAAAACGCTCTTGAATTGTGGCAGACATGAGTGTGCAGAGCGGTGTTGCTCTGGAGAATGGGGGGCTCATGACCGGCTGAATTCAAGGAGGAAGATGAAGTCATATAACCCAGGCCAGTCTAGCAGTGATGGATTCGAATCAGAACATATCTGCACACGACCGTGCGGTCGGCCATTGAAGTGCGGAACCCACAGCTGCCAGATGCTTTGCCATCGTGGGCCGTGTGGCACATGCTTGGAAGCTAGCTTTGATGAGCTGAGCTGTAATTGCGGAAGAACAGTCTTACCACCTCCGGTTGCTTGCGGTGCAACGCCGCCTAAGTGCGAATTTCCGTGCACTCGAGATACAGATTGTGGTCACCCTAAGGTTCCTCATTCGTGCCATGCGGATGAAGTTAAATGCCCGAATTGTCCCTACCTTGTGGAGAAGGCATGTCTCTGCGGTAAGAAAGGGATCAAGAACGTTCCTTGCTTTAAGAATACCGTTTCTTGCGGAACTGAATGCGGCAAGAAGCTTTCCTGTGGTTCCCACAATTGCCAGAAGGTCTGCCACGCCAGCGGGGGCTGCGATGAGTCTTGCAAGCAACAGTGTGGAAAGGCCAAATCTTGTGGACATCCCTGCTTAGAAGCTTGCCACGCACCATTCCAGTGCCCGGAGGTCAAGCCATGCTCTACCACGATTCAGTTCACTTGCGCTTGTGGGGGGTTGAAGCAAGAAGCCAGATGCTGTTCTACAAAGACTAACCCTACTGGGAATAAGAGAGAGCTGAAATGCAATGATCAATGCCGCAGTCGACGTATGGCACTCGCTTTCGAACTCGACCCGGATCGCGAATCTATTCCTCCTTACTCCGAAGGAACTCTCTTTCACTATGCCAAAGACAGGAAATGGTCGGCTGCTGTTGAGGAGAAGTTCAGGGCTTTTGCTGAATCAAATCAGAAACGGTACACTTTCAACCCAATGAAGAGTGGCCAGCGTGCTTTCTTGCACTCTCTTGCAGAGGATTACGGATTCCAGAGTGTGTCTCAGGATCCTGAGCCCTACAGGAGTGTCATCCTTTTCAAAGGATCCAATAACGGCACCGCCCCAAAAAAGACTATTGCAGAATATATCGCCTCAAAGCCAAGTGCTGTCCCAACCAGCACCCCGGTTTCTATTCAGCAACTCAAAAAACCCCAACGACAACCCTACAATGCTATAATCCTGCAAAACATCAGAATCGGGCTTTTGAATGCTGAGATTGAAAGAGAGTTAGAACCGGTCCTAAAGGACACTCAACTCCGCTTTAACCTTCAGTGGTCTGGTGGCGACGACGTCTTGCTTGTCCCGAAAGCCAGCTCGTTTGGCAATGACCAAATCGATGTCGAACTCGCCGACGCCCTTATTCCGCAACTCAAGCGCCTCATTGCCAAGAATGGCTTGGCAGATAAGGCCGAACTATGCCTTGTTGGAAAAGACGGACAGATAGTCAATAGGGAGAGTCAGCCCAAGTGGTCTCTTGTCGTCGGAAAGTCTTCCCCCGCAGCTGGAACAAAGCCCCCTGCTCAGGCGAATGTTGGGTCGAAGAGTAGGTTCGACCTCGAGCACGGAAAGGCCGAATTAGCACGTAAGAGTGCTGAGAGCCTTAAAAAGAAGGAGAAAAAGAAGGGGAAGGAAGTTGACGTTGTGGACGATTGGGAGACTGCGGCTGATAACGAGGCGGAGGCTGCAGGCGGTGGTCTGGCTTCGTCTGTGAGTATGGAGGCTAACATGGGGGACGAGGTTGAGGGGCAGGTTTGAATTTCTTGTGGGCCTCCAACCGATTCCTGCATAGGGTTTCTGGGAGCGCTGTTGCATTCATACCTTTGATCTTGTTTCTTGATTTTTTCTAGTATTTTTCATTTTCCATTCTTACTCTTTACTCTTTGCGTAAGGGGAACGAGGATGCCGCCTGACTTGTTACGATCTTACGATACCACTGTACGTCAATAACCTTTTTTCTCTCTCCCTGTTCTTCGTACCTTACCCTCTCCTTTCTTTCAAATTTTTTTCACCCAAATATTCAGGTGTATATTAGAGGCGCTGGCGGAGTGTACTTTTTCACATTCACAAGGACCGCGGGATGACGAGTGGGTGGATGGATGGATGGATGGATGGATGGATGGATAGGGAAAGTTTTCAGCTTAATTCTAGCTAATCTTTACTCTAAACGTTCTTTCGTGCTTTGTGATTGAATTTCTAAATTTATGATACAAAGAGAGTAGCATACGCAGGCTCGTGGTGGAAGATAGAACGGAGTGCTGATAGTTTTACGATTTACGATCTATGTTGGAAGCATGCGATGTACAAGCTACCTCCGGAGGCGACATCTTCCGGGTTTTTTCACATTATAAAATGCTCATTCCTAACAGGTTCCCACTCACCACCATAACCTCAGAAGAGTATAGTGATCTTTTACATGACACAACTTGACCTGAGAGTTCACATATTATGGAAGGCTGTTTTACGGAAACCATTCCAAAAATTCTATAGAGCTCTCTAGAGAAAGACCAAAAACACTGCCAGGACAGGCAATTTGTATGGGATTTCTGCATGACGATACCGGTAACGCAAGCCAAGTCGTTTACTCCCGCGAGTGTTTAGTATGGTAGGTAGAGCAGAAAAAAATTGCAATTTCAGGTGCCGGGTTCCCTACGGTTCTCTTCCATCCGGTTGCTGTTTGGGAAGAAAATTCATACATACACTTTGTTATGGAAATCCGGTCGGGTATCAGTTTCTTTTGTCACCAAGTTCGTACTGCGCTAGCCAGCGATTGCCATACACTACCAAAAAGTCAGATAGAGTATGGTGGCTGCGGGAGATTGATTTATCGACCTAACTATGATACCTAATGAACGGAAACACAAAGATATTATTATAATAATATTATTATAATAATATTATTATGATATATTATGATAACTTTCTTTCTCCTATACTTGGCCTGACTCCCTAATGAACATAATATACATCTTAAGTGACGTTAAATAGCTCCCAGAGCATCTACCTCCAAGCCTGACCTAAAAACAGTAAGTAGGAGGCCGACACTAAATAACTTATTCCCAACATGTAACAAGCGAGTGAGTGGGCCTGGATTTATCTAGGCAGATAATGACAAAGAGCAAAGTATCATACCACCAAAGTTGGCCAAACTTGGCGAAATTTGTATGGGGGCTTAGCATCCTATATCGACCATTGAATGAGAATAGGTGGTGGCCTTGTAGGATAAATAAAAGGATTTTCCTTGCAAATATCTACTCTTCATAGTCCCAAACAATCTTGAATAATTCTCTTTGGTTTTTGGCTAGTGAATATACCAAGTTTTGCGGGAAAACGGGGTAATTTATGGGACAGTACTTTTGAATAGTGAGTATGATATCATACATCTATTATACTCATAGTCTGTTAGAAGGTGGCTCGCTTTTAGCGCCTCCGAAGGGTAGGGGTGTCTAAGTAGCGGCGCTAGGTAAGTATGATATCGTATGATACCTGCCCGACAGTAAACCCTTCTTATGTCATATCCAAACCCGCAACCCCCCCCCCCGGCCAGTGCGTGCCTGATTTACTCGACAGTCTACAAATTACATAGACTTTTCTAGGAGAAACATGTCAATTGGATGTCCTTTTTGTGTGCTGCTTACTGTGCGGAAGCAATCCTGCCTTATCTTTCTCCCAGACCTGCGTTTTGATGCTAGGGGTGATAACGTGCATGAGTAGGTACGGTAAACTGCTATCGCCGGATACGTCTGTGGGGGGCCGCGGTGTAAGCTGCTGGAAATTCTAGTGTGGGTTTGCGTTCGGCGTTTGGATGTTTGGCTTTGGGTACGGTATTACATATATATGACATACTACGGTCACTGAAACGATCCAACAGTCTTCTTCAACGGCTCTCTTCGATTAGTGGGGCCCTTGGCGTGGCCTTACAGTATATGGGATGGATAGATAACTGGGGGGGGCTGGCTTCGGGGTTGGATATATCACTACAAGTCTTCTGCAAGCCAACCGGTGAGGATTGGGTATGATACCAGTATCTGGCTGTTCCACGATCCAAGCATGACTTGGAACTTCCCCATCGCGCACTTGTCGACACTGCAAAATGCTTGTCTCGCCCGGGCCCTCCTTTTTCGTTACCGGTGGTCCCCCGGCCGCCTGTTAGGGGTCTGGGGATCTTGCTGCTAGCAGTTGACTGTCGATGCTCCCGATTTTTCTCCTCCTCCTCCTTTCCCTTGGCCCTGTGTAGGGGAGTTGAAGCTATATACCTACCAATGCTAGGACTGTGACATACTATTCCGATACCGGGGTTTTCTAGGCTTTGGTTCTCCCCGGGGGGAGATAAATCACCGGTATGCCTCGAGATGGGATACAATCACATGGTTTCAGAGGGGCGATGGGAAGATGTGGGGTACTGGTATGATAGGAAAACTCGTGCCTTGGATTTTCCGTTTACCCTCATCTACGAGTACCCGCTCCAGCTCTCCCAGGCATGCGGTTACCCCGAAGAGGGATGTATAGTAACATGCAGACACGTGAGCCCTTTTGGTGGTGACTGTTGGCATGCCCGTTCTAGGCGAGCCTGTGTGGGAAGGAGGATACGGAAGCAAATGTGGACCTCACACGATCCGCTTATGGTATTTTATTAGAGACCACTAATACAATGACGGGTGGGAACGGGGGGTGGCCTAAGGGGGCTTTGAGACGTGAAGGTTACTACGACTCATACTGACTAATATCCGGCATTCCATCTCAGTAATGCCCAGATCCTTCCAGGCCTTTCTTATGCATGACCTAATATGGAATTTCTTTATTTTTAATTTTCTCCCCGACGTACTGACACTCCTATTGCGCCAAGCTCTGGATACGAGAATAGTCTGCGAGTATCATAGCTTGCTGTTATTGGTATGTTTTTTCCCTTCGTGAGGTTGTGATTCTCCCTCATGCGGTGTGGGTTTCTGGTCATTCGCTAGACTACGGCTGTGCTTAAATACTATTAAAGGAGGCAGACTACTGTATTCAAGTCGGGTTGGGAAAAGTGACATAAGTTCCGACCCCGGATAGCGGGGTCATCTTTTCCGGTTGCCTATCGATAGCAAGGACCCTCCTTATTCTCTAAACTTCAGAGCTTTCTTCGCCGAGACGGGGCCGATAGCTCATCCCGAGCGCACAGCGGTTCTACATAGGCTCTATGGTTCATATGTGGGTTTACCAGGTATGTGGGGTTAGACTATGATTACGTCCTCCCGAAAGGCCGTGGGTTACTGCTGGGATATAAATCGAAGTTTATCCCCATATTCCTCCCTCAGATACATTAAACGTCGACCCCAGTAGGGCACACCCTCAGTTGATATAACCTCTTCTTCTCCCCCGGCAGTGTGCACACACGCATCAAATATCACTCGCTTCGAAGCCCGAGCTCCCAGCACCGAATGTATGTATCACAACCAGAAGCACTACACGTATGTAACACGAGCACTGACTCTAACCTCACAGCGGTGTCATGTGCAACGATCCCGGCCCGCCCCTTCCTCCCCACCAGTGCACATACGTGCGTACATAGATAGGGTGCTCCTTCAGTCTCCCTTAGTGCGGTAAGGAAGAAACATGCACGCCAAGAATCCCTACGAAGGGAGGGCGAGATAAGCTAGAAGCCAACCGTTTTCCCCCGTGGTGCTGAGTGGTTGCCAGCTTGGCTGCCACAGCCTCCGCTGACTCGGGTTGGGTTCGGGTGCACCAGGAATGCCCAAGCGAGTGATTCGTTGTGGAGGTCGTGGTCTGGGTGGAGGGAGAACGGACGTCTATTTTTATGCAGTAAGTTAATGTGGGCTTTTTGTCTCGATAGTTTTTATTATTTTTATCTTTATTTTTATGTTTTAAAATTGAGGGAAATGAAGTTGTCTGTAATACCACGCTCGAGTACTATGCCGTGGGTTGAGTTTCCCAGGTTATTTTTTTTTTGAGGGGGTGGGTGGGTTGTTGTTGTTTATCTCTCCTTCTTCTGACTTAGATGTTGATCTTTCGGCCGGGGCGGGAGGGAGGGAAACAAAGGGTTGGTTCGGGGGTAAGCTTTTGGTTCTTATAGGATAGGGGTTGGGAGGACGGAGATATCTGGCTCAACTTGATGCACCGGGTTGTAGTCGCCGGGTAGAGGAGTGGCAGTGGCAGTGGTTCGCCACGGGTGGGATGGTAAAGCTTTCCATGGATGTTGTCGTTGGCTAACTTTATGCAGCATTTCGTTAGAATCGTGCGCATCATGTCTAAAGTATAGTACCGAACCCCCAATTGAACAGAGAGGACCAAGGGGAAGTTCCATGCATGGTTCAGTCTTGGGGGGTTTTTCCCCTTGATTTATGCTTCTATCCGTCCCTTCGTGCGCTGTCTGCGCTGTTTATGTTTTAAAATAACCAAAAAAATGTAGGGTACCGGTGTTTTAATGTTATATCAGCTGTGCGGCAGTAATGGTGGTGGTGGTGTTGGGAAAAAAAAGCTTGCCTGCTTTGCATCTACCGGGTTATGGTATTTGCAATGTACAGTACTGTACAAGTACGGTACTCGAGTACTTGTACAAGTACATCGCTGTACTCGTACGAGCACTTGGAGCTCCTTATACAACAAGTACACCACGAGTACAGTACAGCACTCTAGCCCATCTGCCATCATTACTGAAATTGCAATGGGTGTGTATTCCAGTACTGTCTCTGCCTTTTCTGCTCGCTCTTGCTTTCGGGGCTTGGAATTGGAAACTGTAATATGGGTTCCTACTGCTGCAAGTGAATGGGTACAGTACCGATTCAGTACCTCATAAATTATCACCGGCAATTCGCCCTTGTGGCGCCCATTCGTGTGTTGTTGTGGGTGTGATACCGGTACTGTGAACCGTCAAACGGCTTTTTTTTCCCCCAAATTTAATGGCGAAAATAAGGAGTTGGGACACTCTGAGGAAAGTGAGAGAGGAAGTTGATCCGAACATCTCCCTTTTCTATATTTCCCTTTTTCCTGCCCTGAATTCTTCCCTCCTCCTCCTCCTCCTCTTTTCACAATTTCCAATCTTCTGGCGTCCACTTCCCCCCCACAGCCATCATCATCAGCATCAGCATCGTAATTGTCATCAAGTGCCTGCTTACCTACCCACCAAATAACAAGCTTATATCCTACAACCAGCAACCTGAGACCACAACCGCAACCACAACCCACATTTCTCCTTCTCGCACCTTAATACCCCTTGCCTTAATACTACACTAATTCCAGGAGACGACTGGGTGTGAGGAGAGAAATACACCTAACTGTTTAAAAGAAGTTTATCCCCCATTTCTGCCCTCTTTATTCGGGTATTCTTCAGTGATGCTGCAGGTACGTTGTCCATTTTCCCTCTCTTTTGCTGCGACCCGCGCGCCGTCCTGCCTGCGTCTCCCTCCACCTCCTCGGCCCTATGACGTTGGAATTCCTGCGATCCTTTTTTTCCCACAGTATTCGCGTTAACTCGCTGACATCGTCGTGCCGAACTGGGCATGGCAACCCA